CGCAGCATATCACAAGAGAGACGCTTACCGTACAGCTTCTCCTCCTCGGTGAGATCCGTCTCCTTCACAAACTGCATGCCAGCAGTACTAGAAGAACCGGAAGAAGAAGAAGCAGAAGCAACAATATCAACAGGAGAAACAGAATTAACAGCCAAATGACGAGTCATTGTTGGTGGAGGACACCCAACACACATAATATCACCTGGCCGCACATTATGGGCACTGTTCAAGATGGTCTCTGCAGAAGTTCCCATGAAACCACCAACAGAGAGGAGTGTCATCTTCCACTACACGCAACTTATGTGGCTCCACAACAGTAGAGATTGGAATACAAGAAGAAGAACAGGACGGAACGTTATGCATATCTTGCAATAACTTCATACACAGACAACCAACAACACCAGAAGCAGTGGGATTAGTTAACACAGGTCTATCATCCTCGTTATCATTAGCGTCACTCTTCTTGTTGTTATCGTCAGTTGACTTCACAGGTCTAATGTATAAAGTGTGAAAAAAGAAAGAAAAACGAGAGAAAGAAAAACACTTAGAAAATGGATGCAGGACACAAATAGTAACAGTGGAAAGAGAGAGAAACAGCAGAGTAAAGAAACAACAAGGAATTTCCCCCTTGCAATGATATTAATATGTATCCCTTAATGTAAAAAAAAAAGAAAACAACATACAATACCCAAACAAAAGAGAGCCAAACACTCACATATACAATAGTCCACGGCTCTAGTTTGTATATTAAATTACTGCACACACATCTGTGTGTACTAGCAAGAAATGTGTACTGTCCGTACGCCGAAGAGCCCAGTTTTCTGCAAACACACACAACGGAAAAGCAAGTAATGGAATTATTAGAAAAAGAACACACACACACATAAAAGTAAAAAAAAAAAAGAAATTCCAATTAAAAGAGATAGCTGGTAAACAGATTATTAATTTATTCACACATGGGGGATGTACGCAATTATGATTATGTTAGTGTAACCATTATTATTATTTGCCCTCAGATTAGTCCCACCGTTCAGTACACAGTAGCGGAGAACAAAACAGCCACAATCAGTAGCGCTGCTGCTGTTCGTATCCACACAGAACTGATACTGCTGCTGTCAACATTAGCCTTATTCTTCTGTACGGTGGAAGTGATGTTGTTGAACTGTGAGTCAGTTACAGATAAAGGAAGAGTTTGCATCTGTTCTGTTTTCGGTCTCACCACTGTTCGCGGTGTGTGCTGGAGTAATTGTTATTGATTCCTTTTGAACCTTTTGTAGTATTTTAAGGTTGAGCTGTATGCATTACGGTAGTGGGAATCAATACCTTTATTTGATTGTGTGCCTGTAGTTATGGATGTTGTTGTCTCTTCCACTAAAACAGCTGACAGTAACACTTTCATTGCACCTTCCGTTCATGCGGGTACACTTCTAGTATTTTTTGGAATATCTGGTTTACTGTCCAGTGTAGATTTACATATCTCCCCTCGCGTGGTAGAATGA